CACCAACTGTAACGGCACCTGTCCAGAGTGTCCCTTACCTCTCAGTCTGTATGGCCTGAAGCTCCCTCTCACAATTCAGTGTGCTTATATTGCTCCCATCACCATCTGATCATCTCAAAATTGATGAATTAATCATCAGTGCTCTGCCATATTCTCCCAATTCCAGACTAGCAAATGAAATCACTGAATCACCTTTGTTCTCCATGTAAACTCTCAAACTATTCCAGTTTTTTTTCAATCAAGTTTACCCTGAAAACTGCTTAAATCGTTAAACACCATAAATGAACACCTGGCTGGGAATTCCCACATCAAATAACATCTTTTAAAAAGGGCCGCATTATACAGCTTAAATCCATACTCTCTCGACGACTAGAGAACACCTACACATTCTAGGTGCTTCTGCAACTCCCTTGAGGAAGAAAACAGTGCTTAGTGTTAAGACAATGAACCAAATTTCCTTACTTTAAAAGTAATAAAGGTCCTGTTGCTTTACCTTGCACTAACAGGAAGGTCTAACTTGTAAAACAGAGCAGTATATCAGTTAATATTTAAACATTTACAGAAACAGGTAGTTTTCACCATATATCAAGAGTTTCTTAAGTCTGTAAAATATTTTTTTTTAAGTTCTTCAAGGCCCTAATTTTAGAGATCTCTCTAAAAGTCAGAAAAATTGTTTGAAGTATCCCCTTTCCTATTCCTCTTGTAGCAGTTCTTTCCAAAACAAACAAAAAAAGGGCATCACTTATAAAACTAATTTGATGAAGAAACATACAGAAATGTTTACTCAGCACTTCAGTTTACATATGAAATAAACTTTTAAAGTTTACAATTATAACATGAACATTTTAGAATTCTACAGCTGTCACTAGGAAGCTGATATATTTTAAAACTAAATTCTGCCAATTTTGAAAGGAATGATACCCACATCTATTTCCAGAGATGCTATGTCAGAAATTAATGCAACAAAAAAGCCCACATATGCACCTTAAAGTACAGAGTACTGTTAGCATCCTTGGAACCTAATAACTACATTTTAACTATTTACTCCATTTTGTACAATAATCATATCCTAACTGGGACACATATGAACTACTATATCCATGGCACTAAAGAGCCTGAATTATGCTGTGTATTCTCATGCATCTGTAAAATATCTGAGTACAAGTAATTATTTGGCTCCAAATCTGCTGAAACCTTTTTTTTTAATATTATGCTAATTATTCATCATACAAACAGTTTTACAGAAAAGACACACTGTCTTGTATCACAAGCCACTATTAAAGTCAAACACTGACAATCAGAGCATTATTTTGACAGACTGTTGGAATCAAAAAGAGTACACACTTCCACAGGCTCAGAAGTCTCCCTGTTTGAAAAGTTTCCTTGTTTTAAGATTTACTGACCTTTTGAAAAGCTCCTACTTTGTTTTATTTTGAAGAAATTGTGTTTACTATTTCATACATTATAAGTTTTGCAAACCAAGGCTCCAGCAACATGCAATAATGCTTTAGAGATATCCATGGAATGTTTAGAATATATACATTTAGGTGTCAAATTTCAATATGCCTCTACTACTGGTTATTGCCAAACTTCACATATGTAATGACCTTCTGCATGTTTAGGCAATGTCCTAAATTTGCATGAATCTTTGTTATATGAGCAATCTATAAAAACTTCCCTGTCCCCCCCACCTTATTATTCTGGTTGATATAGGCTTTCCTTTTGAACTAAGGGAAACCATAGCCTTTACCCTGTACTTGAGCATGTCCCACATAATTTTCCATCTTCTTTTCAATCTCTCTTTCTCCAATTAATTGTTAAGCCTGGGCAGTTAAAAAGAAAACAAACAAAAACACTCCCAATCAAACTTTTCCCCCCCATGGCTTGATAGGGACATCAAAACTTTCCTTTTATTACACAAAGAAAAACCTACAATAAAGCTTATTTGTCATCCAAAATGCCTTTATTTGATAAAGCAGCAATTTTTCCCCATGTTAAACATTTTTATCTATGGCATCACATATACTTGTTAATCCACTGCTACATACCCACCTACATACCATTAGGTCTTATTAATTTGCAACTTCCCCTTCTTCACAGAATTTATGCTGATAATTGTGAACTGGAGATAACACCACAACTGCAACAGAATAAAATCCTAATTTATAACAGGAAACAACGTTTTAATAGGACAATTATTCTTCACAAATGATGTAACCGAGTAAAAAATTTCCTTATTCAAACATCCCTATGCTTGCAAAATAATACAGCAATCTTCAACAACAGCAAGTGAATTACAAGTGGTCCATAAACAGTTTTGCTTAATCCCAAACAACCTCCTAATGCCAGGTCAACCGTTAGTTCAATACTGATAGACATGGTATAGTAACTGCACAAAGTGAAGACTCAGTGCATGATCTCAATCTGTTTCTCAGAGGACTCTTCCCCCCGGCCAATTGCTCACACACCAAGATGCTGCTAAGAAGTAGATACCTTTTTTTGGTTGTTAGTCACTGTCCATTTTTAAACTAGTATTGGTACAGTGACATAACACTGGAGGAGTTTAAGAAAAAGTTTATATTTTCCAATTTTAGGACTCTGACAAGCATTTCACATACTTGTATATTCCAAGTCAGTTTTTTCATGGTACATGAATCTCTCTCAACAGGGGAGCAAGATGTTTCCAAAAACTGGAAATGGTTTGGTTGCAGAGCCATAAGAATTGGCACACATACACAGAAGCAGGTGGAATGAGCACCTACAGCTATTTTGAAGTTCGTTCTTTTAAAATAACTAGATTTTAGGATTATTTCCTTAGAATTTGCCCTGTGTGACAGACTCATAAGAACAGTGGTAGAGCTGAAAGAAAAAATCCCCAAACCTTGTTTAACATTTTCTCTAGAGACAGTTAAAAACATTTCAAAACAATGGAGCAGGGGTAGGGGATGTTATGAAGTAGGGAAAATCAACTGAGAGACACAGTAATAAGCTTTCAACTCGTAACTGCTGTAGAATATCTTAGGTGTTGTGTGGTAGTTTAAGAAAAGCACCTCAGACCAATTTTATCTTTAGTCCTACAATAATGATTTGAAGCTTTGTGCTTCGTCACGGTAAAGCACAGCTTAAGCCTATAAAAGGGAAGGAGATAAATCCAGCAGTTTCATGCTTTGTGACTTAATGGTACAAACATATTCCTGTCACCTGTGTGGCCAAAGCTGTATGTACAAATCTGACTGTTTTCTAACATAACATATTTCATTATGAGGAGAACGAGAGAAAGAACAGAAATGTCTCTCTCCAATTAAAAAGACGTTTAAGGTGAGCTCTGTCAATCTATAGAAAAATGTAACAACAACTGGACACATAAATTGTTACCATTACACATGTATGGTCCTGTAGGTCTTCATATGCAACAGAACTATTGCAACTTTGACACCATTTTATTTAAAATGAAAGATACAGCATTTGAGTTGTAACTTTTATTGCTACAGACCATGGGGACTTAACAGATGAGGTGGGTTCTGGAGCAGCACATTCCCCTCCCGTTTTAAATCAGTTAAAAAAAGTTATATCTATCTACTGTTTCATAAATTAAAAATTATTCTAAGGCAAGCAAAGCCTATTGGAAAAGGCTACATTGTCATAAAGGACTCGCACCTGGAAAGCTCTAAACCAGAGGCTCCCAAACCCCCGGGCTACAGCCCGGTACTGGGGTGCGAAGGGTTGGCTGCCGGACCGAAAGTCCAGAAGTCTTAGGACTGGCACACTTAGAACCGGCAGCCAACCCTTTTTTTATACGAAGTCCGAGATATACCAAGTATAAAAGAGGATTGGCTGCCAGTCCGCAGTACGCCGGTCACTTTTGGTCTGCAGTACGCTGGTCCGCAGTTGGCCAGTTCCAGTCTGCTGGTCCACCGTCTAAAAAGGTTGGGAACCACTTCTCTAAATAATCAGAAGTTGCCAACATGAGTAGTTCTCCTCTCAAGTGTAGGTTTGGATAAGCAACAGAGTCATCCTCACAATACTGTTGTCAAAACCTAATAAAGCCAGTAACTCCTGAAGCCCCCAGCTCACTTGGAACTGAAAAGCATCTGTTAAATAAATGGCTTTATACCAACCACAACGATTAGGGACAACTTCATGTATAATACAAGTGACAACCACAGCTTTTCTCTACCACTGCCTTGATCTCAGCAGAACCACCCGTTTCAACTCAATCGTAAAACCAGAGACGCTGGGCTGGGAGGGAGCTCCAGAGGTCTTCTAGCCCAGTGGCTCTCAACCTTTTTTGTACCAGGACCCATTGCTAAACATCATTAGAAACATGCCTCCCGCCCCCAGGCCTCCAGTGTGTGTGGCGAGGGAGAGGAGTAGGGTCACGGGGAGCCCCAAGCACCCCTCGCCAGCCTGCAAAGGAAAACCCAGTTCCCCACCTTTTTCACCTTTAAAGTTTTGAGGTTTCAAAGTTTTTTAAAGTTTGTCCGCAACCTTTTCATATATTCTTGTGAAGTTTGACTTCTTAAAGTTTATCCACAACCCTTTCGCATATTCTTGTAAAGTTTGACTTTCAAAATTTGTCCGCAACCCTTTCATATATTCTTGCGACCCACTTTCGGGTCCCAGCTCACAGGTGGAGAAACACCGTTACGCCCAACCCCCCGCTCCCTCCCTATCCAAACCCTCCCGAACCAAGGGGGACCGAGCCCCTGCGGCAGGCGCCCACCAACCCCAACCTAGCACCCCGGCACAGCTCACGTGGGGGCACCCCTCAGCGCCCCGCTTTTGGGAAGGACCAAGAGTTGCGTATGTGCCACTGCCAGGGGCTCGGCGCCCACGACGTCAAAATGCAAGGCGTGTCCCAGAGGGTGGACAGTCCGCCTCATAAAAGCGATGGGATTTCCCCCAAGAGCCTGGCCCGCCCACGTCCCAGACCCACATGGCTACAACCTGCCCCCCTCCATTTGGGGGATCTGCCCCCCCCGGAGGGGCCCGGTACTCACTGCAGCGCAGCCCGCGCCGGCCCCACCGCCGCCCCCGCGCGCTCGCGGCTCCGGCTCGCTCTTCTGTCGCTTTTTAAAAACAAACTTTATTCGTCTCCCCGGCAGCGACACAAGCACTGCGCGCCGTGCGCATGCGCCGCCGACCCGCAGGCGCCGCCCGCTGAAAGGCTGAGTAGGCCTCGAGTCGCAAGGCACGCTGGGAGCTGTAGTCCGGAGGGGGGGCTAGCGCGGGGCATGCTAGGACTGGTAGTGCCTGGGTGGGGATGAGGCTGTGCAGGGAGCAGCGTGAGGCTTGCCTGCCTTGCGGGGGGTTGCAAAGCGTGTGGTACGTAAGAGGTGTTGCAGGATAGCATATGGGGGTACATGCGATCTCTTTTATTAGGCAGCTCAAATAGTTGGGGGGGGGGGGAATTTTTCCAAATATTTGAGCTGTCTAACAAAAGAGCGGATATACTCAAATAAACTTGTCTGCCTACGTCCTTCGACCAACGACTTATAGCGGTGGGGCTTTTTGTTTAATTCAGCACCGTACCTCGACTGCTGGCAGCCCCGGGCGAACTTTTAGTACTCGGAGATAATGATAATCGTCATTAAAAAATTACCGTTTTCAGGCCCCCCTTGGTTTGCCCGTGCTGGTGTCCAGCCCTGATTTAACTGGGAATATTTGAGAGTCTGAAGTCGAGCAGAAGGCAGAGGTAGATCTGTCCCTTACAGACTAACTCAAGCAGGTGGATAGGTATAGAGATAGATACATATGTATATATATAGTACCTGGAGATCCTGTCTCGTGCTCGGAGCGGGCTCCGGCTCCTGAAAGCTCATCCTGTAGATATCTCTAATTCAGTTAGTCTAAAAGATGCAGATCCACTAGGGTGGCCATTCGTCTGTTTTTATGGAGGACAGTGCAGTTTTCTGGTCCTCTGTCCTCTAGTGATATGAAACTGGATGCCATTATGCCCTCTGTTTTTCACTGCTCAGCACCCCCACCCCACTGCTGACACTGCTGCGGCCACCTACGAGAGCTCCCTGCTCAGCCTGCCACTGACACCACTGCGGCTGCCTGCAGGAGCTCCCCGCTGTCATGCCACCACCACCGCCGCCTGCGGGAGCTCGCCGTGACCCCCCGTCTCGGGGGGCACACAACGTTCATGGTGGTGGGGACAGTTGCAAAAATGCAAATGTCCTCTATTCTTGAAGTACCTCGATGGCCGCCTTAAGATCCACCCTGGCTTCTATAAATATCGGAGCCCTTATTGTTCCCATTGTCAAGTAGTTTCCTAAAATTTTAAGATTCATATGATTGGATTTTCAAGTCCTGCCTCTGCACACGTGAGGGCTAGACACTGACACTTGTGAAAATTAAACCTGAATTGAATGGCAGAAGCCAGGGCTTTAAAATCAATAGAGTTGATAACAGAGGGTGGCATTTAGCCTTCCTCATTCCTGTTATTTTAATGAACATATACATTAAACAGATATATAGTAAATGACAGTACCTGATCCAAAGACTTTACAATCTAAAAAACAGCAATAGTGCTAATTTGCTAGATTTCTTCTTGCCTCACAACATCAATTCATGTGGAGAGAGAAAATTAATACTTCCCTGGGATGTGATCTTACCACCAGCAAAATATACTTCTCATAGTATAGCCGGCACCAATCATAGCTTACCTGATGACACTAAGAAAACTTTCTATTTTTAACTTTCATGTTCTTTACTTGAAGCAGAACCACCCTTGCAACACCTAGGTGAAGCACAAAAAGTGCAAAAAAGTGGTAGCACACAAATGATAAGCATCTGCTTTTTATTTTGTAGCCACAGATGCATGATACTGATTAAAGTAAACAAAAGGTTATGTGCCCGCCCCTTGAAAGGATGTGGTAACAACTTGCTCTCATGCTTATAATGCCAGACTATATTATTGGTCCCATTTTCCAGATGTAGAACTGGACCAAGAACTGAGAGAGAACATTTTCAGGGAGTTGGTGTTACAAGGAAAAGTCAGAGTCATTTCAAGAATCAAAATTAGAATCCAGGCTTTCAGGACTTTAGCCAGGGTACCATACTGATGTCCTCATTTCTGGCAGTCCTTTAGTAAATGGTCCATTGTCTTGGATTCACAAAATGAAATAATTGAAACTTGTTATTTTTTCTTCAGAATACATTATATTTC